TTTGTCTTAAGCTTAAGCTGACTGGAGACTTATTAACCATAACAAATAAAATGTGAAGCAAGCAGCACAATTCATACCAGAAGGTGCTGAGGCTCAAGGCTGCCTGAAAGCTTCCTTTTCTCCTCAGCTGGTTATGGATACTCCAAATCTTCTCTTTCTAGGTCCACTTCATACTTTCCAATTCATACATTCCCGGTCGTAATCACATATAGTGTATCTGTGGCTCCCAACCTTGGGTCCCCAGGTGTTCTTGGACTAAAACTCCCAGAAGCCTTCACCACCTGCTGTGCTGGCCAAGAATTGTGGGAGCTGTAATCCAAGAACACCTGAGGATCCCAGGTTGGGAACCACTGGAACACATCCTAATCCTGTGACAGAATCCTAGGTGTGTCAGGAAATAAGTGGCCATGTTTCAGTGGATGGTTCCACGTAGGATCTGCTGCACAAATCATACCCTGCCTCACCTCATTACTTACTATATAGGACTTTTTAAGAGGTCATTAAAATGCACAGAATTGCTGAAATGTGCAAGTTAATTACTTCATAGAATTGGGGTGACTCAGAAGAGCCTGTCCTTCTACTATGGAGAATGAAAGCAGGTTTTGATTCATGACTTGCCCTCACAGCAACCCTGTGAGGGAGCCTAAAGTGAGAGTGTGGGAAAGAAAGACTCGCATACATATACCCACGTCGTAAGAACATAAGCAGAGCCCTGGGCAGGATCAGGCCAAGGGCCCATCTAGTCCAGCTTCCTGTATATCATAGTGACCCCACCAGATGCCTCTGGGAGCACCCGAGATACCTGTCTCCTGATCTCCCTCCCCATTAAGCCTGGAGATTGTACATCCCCATCATGGCTTGTCACCTGCGATGGACTTTTCCTCCAAGAATCTGTCCAATCCCCCTTTAAAGACATCTAGGCCAGATGCCATCACCCCGTCCTGTGGCAAGGAGTTCCACCGACTCACCACCCGCTGGGTCAAGAAATGTTTTACCTTAGGTCTGCTCTCCCTCTCCCACCACTGGGTTCTAGGACAGCATGAGAGGCGTGAGAAGTGCCTCGCTCTCTGGAGGCCACTGTAAGCTCCTCGGGGGTGTGTGTGGCAGGAGTGACAGGGTTGCGTGGGGACGGGAACTGGTCCCTGCCTTGAGTGCCGGCGCCTGCCCTCCTGGATCAGGGCGGTGGTACAGCTGGGATTCTGAGGTGGGGCGGTTTTATGGCTCCGGGGGTGGGGGGACTGGCCGCCTTCAGCCCTAGAGGTTGGGAGTTCGAATCTGGGGCCTCCTTCACCGGGGCTGGATGATCCTCAGGATCCCATCTAAAAATAAGCAGCTACAGACTCAGGATTTGATCTTCTCCTGACCAAGAGCCAGGAATTCATCTTTGTTTCCCTTAGGAGAAAGAAAGGCAGGCAGAGATTCACCTCGTGCAACTTGTCTCAGCATGCCAGGGCACTGATAGTGAACCGGGACCCACAGAATTGGTAGCCTATTCTACTGGTAAAGCCCCAGGATCCCTGACTGGGGAAGGATCCAGAAAATCAAATGCAGGAGGTCCTCAGGCAGACATTAGTCAGGAGAGGCCCGGATTTTAGGGAACTCTTTACCAGCTCCGGTTCCATCCGTGGGCCTGAAGAACCGGCTGGAGCTGCAATGGTTCCAGAGATTCAGGAGGTGATATGGTGACCCACATACGGCTGCTTACCAAGTCCTGGGGGGGGGGCTCCCACCGCATGCCGACGGAGGGAAGGGGAAACCACATCTGAGTCAGCTCTGCCTAGAAAACTCTTTTTAAAAAGGTCCCCGGAAGCCGGCAGTGACTTGACAGCAAACGGTTATTGGTGTCGTCGTGATCCGGTCCACCGCAGAGAGGATCCAAAGAAGTCCTCCGGGGCTGAAGGGGAATCTTGGTTTCGCCTGGCAAAAGGAGATGTAGAGCTGGGTGTCATCAGCATATTGATGACATGATGCCCCACACCCCCTGATGACCCCACCCAGTGGCCTCATATAGATGTGAAACAGCATTGGGGAGATAATCGACCCCTGTGGAACCCCACAGTTGAGACTCCACGGGGCCGAGACTCTCTCCCCAAGCTACACTCTCTGGGGACAGTCCCCCAAGAAGGAACAGAGCCAGGCAAGCGCCAGGCCACCAATTCCCAACTCGGTGAGCCTCCCCAGGAGGATACCGCGGTCGACGGTATCAAAGGCCGCTGAGATGTCGAGGAGGACCAACAGAGCGACCAATGCCGTCTCTGTACCGTGGTGTGGCCTGAAGCCCGGATGAAATGGATCCAGGGCATCTGTTTCATCCAAGTGGGCCTGAAGTTGGTCAGCGAACAGCGAAAGAAACATTGGCGCCGGGCCTGTAATTGCCAATTTTGTCCACCGCCAAACTAGGTTTCTTTCTAACGGGCCTAATGAGTGTCTCCTTGTATTCTCGAAGGCTTTCACAACCGGGATCCGGTGGTTGTTGTAGGTTTTTTGGGCTGCTTGGCCGTTTTTCTTCTGAACATTTCAACTGTCTCTGTGGCCGACATCTTCAGAAGATAGGAGCTAGAACTCTGTGTTCTGGTGTGTGGGATAGCTGAGTATTTGTAGCTATCGGATCAGCTTTTTGTCCTTTTCAGGAGATTGGGTGATTATGGTGATCAAGGTGTTTTTCATTATGGGTGTATTGTAATAAGGGGAAGATGGCCTGTCATTGTGATTGATGGGTGTTATTCATTCATTCATTCATTCATTCATTCAACTTGTATGCCGCCCGCACTCTGCAAAAGTGTTGTTAACTCATCTTTTGTATGCAGTCCTTGTGGCTGAGTAGAGTTCCTTGACCATTTGCAGGCTGTATTTTTCAGTGCTGGCAGCCAGGCTTTGTTAAGTTTTAGACTTTCTCTTTTTTTGCTGAAGCTCTGATGGTGTTTGTGGATTTCAGTGGCTTCCCTGTGTAGTCTAACAGAATTATTTCTGGTGTTGGCCAGTACTTCTGTGTTTTGAAATAAGATTTCATGTCCAGCTTGTTTTAGGGCATGTTCAGCTTCTGCTGATTTTTCTGGTTGTTTTGGTCTGCAGTGTCTCTCATGTTATTTGATTCTGGTGTGAATGCTTCGTTATGTGGTTCCAATTTATACCTGGCCACAACTGCAAGGTATCTGGTGTACCCCTGCAGTGGTGAGGGGATCTTTTTTGTCCTTCAATAACCATAACATTTGTTGTGTTTTTGTGGTGGGCCTGAATACTGTTTCTAGGTTGTCTTTTTTAAAAAATAGACACCCACAAATACAGTATTTCTGCCATATATCAGTCATGAAACTCATGGAGAAACTTTTGAAAAAGCATTTTCTAATGGATTGTCTGGATCCCCCCACCATTTCTTTTATATTTCCCTTTAAAAACAATACTTTCCATACTCTCTTCAATCTCCAAATCACTCCATATTACCTTTTTTCTACTTGCTCTTATCTCCGGAAAGTGCCTTTCAGTGCATTCACCCTCATCCATTCCATGAGTCGCATTGGATACTTCCAGGACCACGTGCACCTCATGTTGGCCATAAAAAGGGGGGAAGGTCCTAAGCGGGATGGATGGTAGCCTCCCACACAGCAGGCCTACCAGCCTTTTCCTAGGGGTATGACGACAGTGGCATAGGAATCGCAAACGTCACGGAGAAATAACTTCTTTTGGTTGGTGTAGTATGGTTGTGTTTGGAAATGATTTCCTGCTATTTTGGGGGGGGGGGCGGAGCATTTTCAGGGCATTCTGAGCAGAACATTTCAAGCACTCTATCTTCTTATCCATCCTAAACTTTTTAAAAACATGCCATGCCATTTGTGATTGTGTGCATTACCACGGTAAAGTCTAACTGGTGGTAGAGTGGCGAGGGTAGCAGGCTCAGGAGACCTAGGTTCGAATGCCCACTCAGCCATGGGAACGCAAGGTGGGAGGCTGGCAATGGGAAGTGTCTCCATGGACATCTCATGGATCATTTTAGGAGGGGCAGGATGATGGAGAGGGGAGGGAGGGCTTCCCCTTGTCTCTTGTCCCGCCTGGTGGACGCTCACCTGGCAAAGCCTCTTGAAAACGTCCTTTGAGGACCTGCATCTCAACGTTATGCTCTCTTACCTGCATCTTGACTACTGCTTTGTCGGGTCCCTTCCTCTTGCTGACCCTGGAGATGGGCTGCGTGAAAAGGCAGGATGGCAGCCGCCTACCTTACAGGGTTGGGTTTGGCCCCCGAAAGCTCATCCCGGAATGGAGGGTGGCTCTTCCATTGTGCTCCCTCTCCTTCCACGATCTCTCCCCACCCTCCCACCCCATGACCACTTTGTCCTCTCCTTCACTTCCAGGCTCCTCCTCACACTCCTTGTTACATTTTTATACCACCGTCTGGGAACCGGATCAAGGACCGCCTGGGTTCATGGCTGTGGACCAGGTGAATGACCACAACTTCAACCACTACAACAGCACCACGAGGGTGGCCAGGCCTCAAGCCGACTGGCTGAAGAAGATGGAGGAGGAAGACCCCTCGTACTGGGGGTGGAGGACGCTGGTCATAAAAAATGCTGAGCAACGATTGTCCAAAGACCTGGAGATCCTTAAACAACAGAACGAGAGCAGAGGTGAGTAGAGACCAAAGCGAGTGGGAGGGGAGTAACTTTCCCCCAAAATCCTGTATTCTTTCTCCTTTGTCCAGCAGTGGACCTACATTTTTGAGGCCCTGAAGCTTAAAATGTTATGGCGGGCCTTTTGCAATCAGCAATGAAGTCTTCGTAACCCCTTTAACCTCTTCTGTTGGTTTACTACATGACAGATCATCACAATTTTTTAAAAAACAAACAAACCATGGACTAAAATCACTTCTTGGCCCCTTCTGAGATTAAGGGTCCTGAAATTTGAGATTCATTTGTTTCATAATTGATCCGCCCCTTCCTTTGTCTAGGTATAAACTAGGTGAAGGGTATACCCCGGTGTTTCTAGATGGACTTTTCCCCCCAAAGTGGAGGTCATGGGAGGTGAACTCACCGTGAGGAGATGTCACATTTAGCTGGACTTCAACTTTAAAATACAATGGTGCCTCGCATAGCGAGGTTAATCCGTTCCGGATTAACCTTCGCTATGGCGAAACATCGCTGAACGGGACAGAAAAGCCTATAGGAACGCATTAAACAAATGGGCCGAAAACTCACCGTTCAGCGAAGCTTCCCGGGTCTGGCAGCCATTTTCGCGCCCTCCTTAAGCGAGGGCAGGGCGCGAAAACGCTGTGCGCAGCCATTTCGGGGCTTCCGGCGGCCATTTTGGAGCCGCCGAACAGCTGATCATCGGGCTTCGTTTTGCGAAGATCGGTAAGCAAAACGCTTACCGATCTTCGCAAAGCGAGTTTTGCCCATAGGGGCCATCGGTATGCGATCGCATTTGCGATCACTGAGACCCCATCGCTATACGATTTTGTCGTTATACGGTGCGCTCGTTAAGCGAGGCACCACTGTATTCTCCAGTTTCTGCATGAGAAGGAAATACATAACATCATGTTGGATCAGACGACAAGCCCAGTCAGTCCATTCCCAAAGGGGTCCATGGGAAACCCACCATCAGGATAGAATTTGGTGCCACCAAATTATGTGCGTGGGTTCCTTCCCTGTATGGGTTAACTAACCCTGGGAGGATGGAAGAGTAGAAGCACACCAGTCAGAAACTGGAGAAGCAACTGGAAGGCCATGGAGTTTTGTAGATCTAAAACTTCTGGGCTTCTTCTACTGAGCCCACCCTTTGTGTGTCTCCTCTAGGCCTTCACACCTGGCAGCACATGTACGGTTGTGAGCTGAGCAGTGATGGGAGCTTGAGAGGGTTTTCCCAGTATAGCTACAATGGGAGAGACTTCATCAGCTTTGACAAGGAGACCCTCACCTGGACAGCAACATCTCCCCTGGCCCAGGTCTTAAAGCTCCGCCTGGATAACAATTTGGAATATTCCAAGTACGTGAAAGCTTACCAGGAGGAGATCTGTGTGAAGTGGCTGAAGAAGTTCTTGGAATATGGAAACAAGACTCTGCTGAGAACAGGCAAGGAGGAGAAATTGGGGGGAAGGGGAGGAGAACAATGCGGAGGGGGAGGGAGATGTTTTGAGGAGACAAAAGGGATCCTCCTGAGAAGGGTGAAGCTTGAATTGGGGGTCCAGCCTGAATGCTGTGGGTCTTGGAAGTCCAGATAAGAAGAAAGGGCAGCTTCACAATTGGAAGTGCAGCTGGCTTCAAGAATGAAAGATGTGTGATTGTCCTCAGAAAGTGCCAAATAAATTTATAAATAAATAAATTCATGCATAAATAAATAAGTTTAGCCACAGTGGGTCATGGGAGGCAAGAACAGGGCCAGTCTGCAGGTGGATTTTGCATTCACACCTGATCCCTTACAACTCTGAAGCTGCTCAAGCCCTCCTGGTTTCATGACCCCTTCCCAGAGAATCCAAGCGATTGTTCGCTCTTTTCGGGGAAGGGATTCCCAAGGCTTTCCAGGTTCTGCAAGGAGGCTCTGCCCAGGCCCTCTAACGCGGCTCTTGCCGTATCCCCAGAACTCCCAGTGGCGAAGCTGAAACGACGGGAGGTCTACGCCAGTGGCCGGGAAACCCTGGTCTGTGAAATCTATGGCTTCTACCCGAAGGAGATTGATGTCTTCTGGAGGAAGGACGGGGAGGTCTGGATGGAGGACACCTTCCACAGGAATGTCGCCCCGAACCCAGATGGGACGTACCACAAGTGGACCAGTGTGGAGATCGACCCCAAAGAAAGGGACCTCTACCAGTGCCACGTGGATCACGGCAGCCTGGCGGCCCCTCTCGTCCTGGCCTGGGGGGAACAGGGTAAGACCCTGGGAGTTGATCCCAGGAGGTGAGTGGAGGGCAGGGGAGGAGGAGGCAGAGATTTGACCACCCAACGTCTCACCCTGGGAGGAGGGAAACCACACACTTCCTTCTGGGCTGGAGTCCATTTGCTTTCCAGCTTTCACTCAATGTTTAACGGGTTATTTGCTATACTTTTCAGAGATACATTGAGTGGAGTATTTCCTCCCCCCCCAATGATGGTTTGGGGGTTCCAGTCAATGACTCTGCTCTTTTTCCCCCTCCCCAGCTTCAGTCACGGACTTGAACACAGAGCTTGTGGCCTTCGTCCTCTCCGGAGTCGTGGGTCTTGCTGTCCTGCTGGGGACGGGGTTCCTTCTTTGTCGCAGTAAGTAAACTGGACATGAGACCGAAGGGACCTGGTGCCGGAAATGATGCCTGAATCCCAGAAGGGATTAGAAAGGGACTAGAGAGTCCAGGAACGTCACACCTTAAGCAGGTTTTCTCCGAAGTAAGGACTTTGGTGGTTGGTACATTGTGAAAAAAATATACTGTATATGTTTTCCTTCTTTAACGGACGATCAAAGCTCCCAAGAATCTCTGCCCAGATTTTAAGCCTGTACTCTTGCTTCTGACCCGTAATGAGCTTATCAATTAGTGACCTCAAAAAGTCCTGTCGTTAACTCCCTCGCACCCGGACAGATCTTGTAAACTCAAGGCTGTGGCTTCCTTTTATGACCTAATCCATCTTATGTTTGATCTTCCTCTTTTCCTGCTGCCTTGAACTTTGCCCGGGGTTCCTCCCGCAACTTGAATTTTTTTTTTGTTTCTTTCTTCAAATGCCTTCACTCTGGGACCATCCGTTTAACCCTTGGCTCTTCGATCGTGTCTCTGCAGGGCATCCGCAAGCAGAAGGTGCCGACAAAGAAGAAAAAAGTAAGTTGAATTAAAATCCTGAACAAAGAAAGGGTGTGTGGCAGGGTGGGGGTGGGGAGGATGAGAAGTCCCTAAATTCTAGGTAGTAAAATTTCCTTCTGCAGGAGTGGCGCTAGAAGAATGAAGATATATTTTATTTTAGGGCTTAGGAGGTGTGAAAATACTTGAGGTCAGCTCTTTAACGTTGTTCTTCATAGGACCGTGTTCTTCTTTGGCTTCCTAGAGATGTTTGAATTCTTCCTTATTTCTTCAAGCTGCTCCTGTTTCCCCTCTGCCTTCTTTTCTCGAAGCTAAAAACAAACCCAGTTTGTCCCGTCTTTTCTCTTAGGGCTTGCTTTTCGGCCCCCGAATCCTTCTGGCCACCCTCCTCTGAACCCACTTCTCCTCTTTGATTTGGATTCTTGCCACGGAGCGGGAGATCGGATCCGACGGCCTTATCCGTTATCCTATGACATGATTCTTTGCACAGAGGGCCCTGTTTCCCTTGCCAGCCAAAGCCAAAAGCTTCTCCTCCAGTCCTGTGATAAATGGAAAGTATCTATTCAGCAAATCCAGATTGCATTCCCTTAAAAAGAAAAGATTCCAGTCCTTGGGCATCACCCTTAAAGTCTGAAATAAAGCGCATCGCTCTTGTGAAATGACAATAATCCACTTCCATTGGGTGAAGGCAGTTTTTAAGATCAGTTTTTAGGATCAGCTACGTTTGTAGAATCCTAGAACCGCAGGGCGGGAAGGGATCCGATGGATGCTCGAGTCTATGGGGAATCGAACTCCCAACCTTTTTTAACTGGGTGCGCCCCGGGTGGTTGGGTGTGTATTCTCACACAGTTGCCCAACCTGGGATGGGCCTGGGATGAAAAAAGGAGGAGTTTTTTTTTGTCTGAATCTTGCCTAACAGCGAGAGCTGTTCAGCCGTGTTGTGAACCGCCTCGGATGGATGGTGGATCCTCCTGCTTTGGAGGTTTCAGGAAAAAAAAGATGGATTTGCTGTTCTGGGAGAAGCCTTTGGCTTTGAGTTTCTTGCTTCAGCTTCCAGAGTTGGTGACCCTCGGAGTCCCATCCTGGTCTACGATTCGATGGTCCTCTAAGGGTGCGATCCCACCGAGAAACGGCTTACGTCCTGGGCCACGTGCTTCGTTTTAGTGTGATTGCCAATCACAGGGCGTACGTGGCATAGCAGACCGGCCTGATCTTCCTCTCAGCCTGGGTCCCTCGGCAGGGCTAATCTGTTTTGCTGCCGGCCTGGAGCGATCCTGATGGGGAAGGGTTAGAGTCATTTTAAAGGAGGTTGCTCTCAGCTGCCTTTCCAGTACGGTCATCCACCAGATCACCCCTTTATCCGAGGGTAGTTTTGACCCAGTGCCTGAGTGGCCGACCTCGATCGGACATTTGGGAAAGAACATCCCATCCTTATTGGAGGGGTCGCCATCTCTGTGGGCTTTCTGCCTTGTGCTTCCAAAATGCAGCTTGGCTCGCTTGTTTGAGCCTTCTTCTCAGCTTCTCTACTGGATAGGCATCTCCGGAGGGTACCTCCATTCTCTGCTCAGAGCAGTTTTTCAGGATTGTTCAATCTGCAGCGGGAGAAGAATGGACAGACCCTCCCTTTGCTGATGGGGGTGGGCTGGGTGAGCTTTGATGGGGGAACCATTAAAATTCTGAGGTGTCAGGGTGAACTGTCCTCTTGCGACCCTTTCCCTGTTTGTTTGTTTGTTTGTTTGTTTGTTTGTTTGTTTGTTTTAAAATTGTTATTTGGTTAATTTACTATGTATTAATTTTGTTAAGGTGTACATTTTGGTAGGCTTTTAAAATAAATATTCCAGTTTTGTTTGTTTGTTTTTGGATACACTTGAATGGTTCTTTAGGGCTGTTGGAGTGCTAGAAAACACAAATGGGAAACTTGAAATGATTGACTTGAAATAAGGTATGTATGAAGACCATGAAAAACAAAAGATGTACCTCCAAAAAACCAAGAAATGAAACAAATACAAAGTTGTTCACTGCCTATATTTGTATTAGTAAGTATGAACACAGAACTATAACAAATGCTAATTGCATATTTTGACAGATCTCTGCCTATGCAATAGGTGTGATGTCATCATCGGTGTCAGTTTGCTTCTGATTCAAGGCTTCCTTTTGCATTCTCAGTGTGTACACAGCTTGCATACAATGACACAAATATATGTGCATCCTGAAATTGAAAATAGAAGTGTTTAATGAGTGGCGATCTGAGATTGATGTCATAGTTGTAACACAATTGAACCTATGCAACAGTACTGCGGCCATTTAAATATAAAGTCTCGTCTGAAATCTGTATAAAAAGAACAAAGAAATTGTCCTGTTTTTCCAGTCTTATAATGGTTGCTGCAATGTTATTTCCCTTTAGTATCAGAATGGCTGTATCCTCATCTTGCGCTACACATATGAAGAAGAACTGCCCAGATTTTGCAATAAAAACATGATTGGCTGAGGGAGCGCCTGCTTTTCACTGTTTAATAAAACAGAGCTCCCTTCTCTGCTCATCTGTTTACTCTTGCACAAATTATTTTTTGTACTCCATTGACAAAGATAAATGATGGGATTAATATATATTGGAGAAGTTCCTGCGAACAGTTTGCAAGCAGAGAGAAAGGCTTGCTATTATTTCCCTCAGGTAACGTAGCTCAGACAAACTGGATTAAGGCTCATTTGCTGCAGGGCTTAGATGTGATCAGGCACTATTAGTGAGACACCATTTAGGAAAATTGCTTTTTTCTAAAATGAAAATGAGACTGACTTTCATTACCTTCTTAGGCCTCACAGAAAAAGAAACAACACTCTTTCCCCCCCAGCAAACCTCTGTTGATGGTAGAGGAACCAGGTCTATCATGCAGGATTCTGGAAGTGTGGTCCAGAAGAGCAACTTTTCAAAGCTGAACTGGGCAGTACCCATCAAAACACATTGTGCAGTTGTTTCCTCTTTTCATCCTTAAAGTATTTGTTTCATAAAGAAAGAATGGGAATAAATGGGAGGATTATAAATTGGAAGCAGTTTCCCCAATCCTAATTCTATGAAAGAGACAAAGAGATTGCATTAAAAAGACCTCTGTGTTCACATTCAACCACACATCTGCACTGCCTATGACCAAATCCTGGTCAGATGTGATAGGAGTACAGGATTTATTATCATAAAATGTACACTTCTCACTCAATACTACACTGGTTAACCTTGCCAGAGACAGTTTAGCTTGGGCATGGATTTTGCTATGAGCTATATTCTGTTTCTCCTTGTGTAAGATATATAACACAAACCCAAAGATACCTGGGTTGGTTCACAAAGAAACTACCCTGTAGCTGATCTGCAAATGTACAAATATTTCTGCTCTGCCTTGTTTGATGAAGATATATTTTATTTTAGGGCTTAGGAGGTGTGAAAATACTTGAGGTCAGCTCTTTAACGTTGTTCTTCATAGGACCGTGTTCTTCTTTGGCTTCCTAGAGATGTTTGAATTCTTCCTTATTTCTTCAAGCTGCTCCTGTTTCCCCTCTGCCTTCTTTTCTCGAAGCTAAAAACAAACCCAGTTTGTCCCGTCTTTTCTCTTAGGGCTTGCTTTTCGGCCCCCGAATCCTTCTGGCCACCCTCCTCTGAACCCACTTCTCCTCTTTGATTTGGATTCTTGCCACGGAGCGGGAGATCGGATCCGACGGCCTTATCCGTTATCCTATGACATGATTCTTTGCACAGAGGGCCCTGTTTCCCTTGCCAGCCAAAGCCAAAAGCTTCTCCTCCAGTCCTGTGATAAATGGAAAGTATCTATTCAGCAAATCCAGATTGCATTCCCTTAAAAAGAAAAGATTCCAGTCCTTGGGCATCACCCTTAAAGTCTGAAATAAAGCGCATCGCTCTTGTGAAATGACAATAATCCACTTCCATTGGGTGAAGGCAGTTTTTAAGATCAGTTTTTAGGATCAGCTACGTTTGTAGAATCCTAGAACCGCAGGGCGGGAAGGGATCCGATGGATGCTCGAGTCTATGGGGAATCGAACTCCCAACCTTTTTTAACTGGGTGCGCCCCGGGTGGTTGGGTGTGTATTCTCACACAGTTGCCCAACCTGGGATGGGCCTGGGATGAAAAAAGGAGGAGTTTTTTTTTGTCTGAATCTTGCCTAACAGCGAGAGCTGTTCAGCCGTGTTGTGAACCGCCTCGGATGGATGGTGGATCCTCCTGCTTTGGAGGTTTCAGGAAAAA